GGCGACCCGGGTTCAAATTCCGCTCACGGCCAACACCGGTGACGATTATCTTAACCGGAACCGTGCCTCCCATAGGTCCACTCAGCCTCAAGTTACTACCTGGTGCTGTGTGTAAACATCGCCACTGGGGAGATGAAGCCGCACTTCGCGATGTTCTGGCCGCCAACCCAGTCGTGTGCCGTGCCGTCATCGGGGCTCGGCTACAGCACTTCTCCGACAGTCTGTGAAGGCTACCTCGGTTGTCTTTGTCTTTGTGTTCGTGTCTCTGTGATTCTCTCAATGTACCTCTGTCTCACTCCCTCTGTCCGTGTCTCTCTCGAGAACTCGTTACCCCACATCAGCACAGGACCACACTTCACCTGTGGACGATCATCCCAGTCTCCCGCCTACCCCCCTCCCGACCTGTCAGAGTGACAGCTCAAAGCGTCTCTGTAATAAGAGCAAGGAGGGGTCGCGATGTCGGCTATGGGCGCGCGCACACACTCGCACACAAACACAAAGATCACCCGTGTAGCCTACGCACCCTTTTGGGGAAAGTACTTTTAGCACGCGCCTATGAAGGCCGGCACACACACACACGTGCACCCCCGCGCACAACCTCACATAGTTACACACAGCCTCACATAGCCACACACAGCCTCACATAGCCACACACGTCCGCACACAGCCTCACACAGCTGTACACAGCCTCACACAGCCTCATATAGCTACACACAGCCTCACACAGCTACACACAGCCTCACACAGCTACACACAGCCTCACACAGCTACACACAGCCGCACATAGCCACACACAGCCGCACACGCCCGCACACAGCCTCACACAGCTGCACACAGCCTCACATAGCTACACACAGCTGCACAGCCTCACATAACTACACACAGCCTCACGTAGCTACACACAGCTACACACAGCTACACACAGCCTCACACAGCTTCACATAGCTACACACAGCCTCACACAGCCTCACATAGCTACACACAGCCTCACACAGCCTCACATAGCTACACACAGCCTCACATAGCTACACACAGCCTCACATAGCTACACACAGCCTCACACAGCCTCACACAGCCTCACATAGCTACACACAGCCTCACACAGCCTCACATAGCTACACACAGACTCACACAGCCTCACATAGCTACACACAGCCTCACACAGCCTCACATAGCTACACACAGCCTCACACAGCCTCACATAGCTACACACAGCCTCACACAGCCTCACACAGCCTCACACAGCCTCACATAGCTACACACAGCCTCACACAGCCTCACACAGCCTCACATAGCTACACACAGCCTCACATAGCTACACACAGCCTCACATAGCTCGTGCTCAGCGTCAAAGCGCGACTTCAAAGCGTGGCCAGAGGGCTGCTGCTGCTGCCGCCGCCGCCGCCCTGAGTGGCAGCTGAGCACCGCGGCCAGAGCCAGCCTCGCGTCTTATCTCGGGGGCTGCCGCTAATTACCCCGCCCTACCTGCCAGCCCGGCACAGCAGAAGCTGCCCAGCCCACCGGCCCGACGAGCCATTCCTCACCGACCCCCTTTGTGGAAGGGACCACCACCGACACGCGCAGACCCCTCCCCGTCTCCTATTCGTGAGACTGTTCGGGCCGAGTGCTCCGAGCGAGCACGCGTGAAGGCCGGCACGCTCCTGCCGGGGGTGCTGTGACCAGAAGCACACCCGGGCCGCATTTGTCTCCCGACTACCTGCCAGTCCGACCCAGATAAATGACAAAGTGGATTCTTACAACGACAGTCAGGCACATTTCCTGTGAACGTAAATTTATTTTAGAATATTGTGTTTTGGACAGAGCTGTATTTTTCTTCCAGATTACGCTAAAAAAATAAACAATTTAACCTGAGTTTGTTTTTTGTGCAGTTATTGGTGACCGAGCTGAAATTATAATTTTATATTTTTAAATTTTTCTTATCTCGATTACCAATGACTGCACACAACATCGCCATCGCATGGCATTTACTTTTTCGTGCTCCATGCGACGACATCATCGCGAGACATTACGGACACTCGAGGTCGGAGTTGAGTCGGCCGAGCTGCTGATGTCACGGGAACCCGGCAGAGGAACCCCGCATCGAGACTCCGGCGTCAGCGCGGCGGGGTCAGCGCTTCTGACCCCTCAGTAAATCCGAAAACAAAATCATTCTCTCGGCGAGACTCATTACCCGTGGCGCACACATCATTATCAGCACTGACGCTGATGAGAGTGATTGCGCTTTACGTGCATTGCTTTATAAACCCACTGCTGAAGGTCTCCCGCACGCGGTTTGGGGGTGCTGGGGGAGCGGGTTTGGGGGGGCTGGGGGGGCGAGCGGGGGGGCTGGGGGAGCGGGTGGGGGGGCTGGGGGAGCGGGTTTGGGGGTGCTGGGGGAGCGGGTGGGGGTGCTGGGGGGGCGAGCGGGGGGTGCCGGGGGGCGGGTTGGGGAGTGCTGGGGGAGCGGGTGGGGGGGCTGGGGGAGCGGGTTTGGGGGGGCTGGGGGTGCGAGCGGGGGGTGCCGGGGGGCGGGTTGGGGGGTGCTGGGGGAGCGGGTGGGGGGGCTGGGGGAGAGGGTTGGGTGGCTGGGGGACGGGTGGGGGGCTGGGGGGCGAGCGGGGGGTGCCGGGGGGCGGGTTGGGGGGTGCTGGGGGAGCGGGTGGGGGGGCTGGGGGAGAGGGTTGGGTGGCTGGGGGGACGGGTGGGGGCTGCTGGGGGAGCGGGTGGGGGCTGCTGGGGGAGCGGGTGGGGAGGCTGGGGGAGCGGGTGGGGGCTGCTGGGGGAGCGGGTTGGGGGGTGCTGGGGGAGAGGGTTTGGGGGGGCTGGGGGAGAGGGTGGGGGGTGCTGGGGGGGCGGGTGGGGGTGCTGGGGAGGCGGGTGGGGGTGCCGGGGGAGCGGGTTTAGGGGGGCTGGGGGGGCGGGTTAGGGGGGTGCTGGGGGAGCGGGTGGGGTTGCCGGGGGGACTGGGGGAGCGGGTTTGGGGGGGGGGGGCAGGGGGATATTACGGTGGGGTTGTGGGGGGGCTGATGGTTGTCACGCGCGAGAAGGGGCACCCAGAGGTGGGGACATTTGGCTTGGTAGAGGACCGTCCTTCAACGACAGCTACTTTCACTATACCGTATTATTTAGAAAAAGAGTTTTGGTGGCTGTCTGGCTGGCTAACTGACTGGAGGGAGGAACAGAGGACGGTCAAGTCCAAAGTAGCAGCTGCCAGTAGTCCTTTAAAAAAATAAAAATAAATCATTCCAAACTCATCCTTGACGTAACTTAATGTAAAAATATTTCAGAAATTTCTACAAATCCAGAACCTTCCTTAAAAATCCGAAACTGTTTCAATGCGAAGCTCATCCGTGATTTGTCGCGTCACTCTCCGCGCGCCTCGAGTTAAGTTGTCGAGGCTCGCGGGCGTTGGCAGTGTCCAGATCCGTCTCGGGACACGAGGGGCGACTGGGGGAGGTGGGGATGAAGAGGCAGATGGATCGGGCGATAACGAAAGAATGCAGGATCTCGAGGAAGAGAAACTGCCTCGAAAAAAACTGACATGAAGGCGTAGAGGCACTGCGTTCCATTCTGCTCTGGAGAGATTAACATTATTGGCGGAGCTGCTGCGGTGCCAGATGTAGGAGCAAGCGAAGCGCCACTAAATCACCCCGCGCCCTGCTCGGCGCAGCAGCAGAGGGAGCCTGGGTTCGACACCGGGCACAGTCGGTGCTCCGTGTCGGTGGGACCTGTGAGTGCAGAGTATGAGAATGCGTGTGTGGATGTGTTTAATTGTTTTTGTGTGGATGTATTTCTAGGGGTGTGTGGATGTGTGTGTTGTGTCTGTGCGAATGGATTGAGCGTGTCTCTGTGTGCTTGATTGTGCGTTCGACTGCTTTGTGTGTGTGTGCTTGGTCCTGGCCAAACCACCCCCTCGTGTTCCGTGTCTCCCTTTTAATAGGCGCTCGCTAGCAGCACTCGCCCCAACAGTCCGCTCAGGGCTAGGAGTGGTTGATAACAGTGGTGTCAAGATCACTTCTGTGTAGGAGGCTCCTGAAAGTTGGCAGATGGCAGCAGCCGCCTTCCATCAACAACAGGAGGCGTAGGAGCGAAGCCCACAACAACGGGTGGATAAAAAGGTACAGTGGGGAGCGCGCGACGCGCATCTGGCAGTCACGTGACTCCGTGACCTGTCAGCGAACCTTCGACAGGTCACGTTACTTCAAAGTGCACCTAGCCTGGTACAAAGCGCCGAGGTGATGTTACACTTGCACGCACCTGGCGTGTGCCCCTTGGTTGATTCTTGTGTGTATGCGTTTGTGTTTACAGCTTTATTAGCAGAAACAGAAGAATCATTGTCATCTCCAGCAATGGCAGAACCATCATCAGAAGCAGGATATGATCACCATGATCATTGCCCCCAGAAGCAGCGAGACTTACAGCACCCAATCTGGTGTCTCTCGCCAGTGCCGGCAAATTTGACTCTGGCCACTGCCTTTCTCTTACACACACACATTATGACACGCACGTACACTCACACGAATACACACGCACAATAAGACACAAGCACAAAAGATAAAGATCCCCCGTATTGAGTTTAACATACTGTTGGGGAAAGTGCTGTTAGCGAGCATCCAAACTCAACTATTTTATTTCACCAGGTAAGGCCCACTGAGCTATATAGCAGCTATCTTTAAGAAGCGACCTGGCCACGTGATAGTTCTACGAAGTGGCTTATCGTGTGGACATTGTAAAGCTGCGATGAAATCTAGCACGGCACATGAGGGGTGGGTGGCCAACACCACGCCCGGCCGCCTTTGTCTCCCGTGAGACCTTTTACACACCGCACCATGTGCACATTTGAGCCTGAGTCGACCTATGGGAGGCCCAGGATCCATTCAGATAATCTTCACTGCTCTACGCATACTCACACGAATACGCACGCGCGCCACTCCGTGCGCGTGCCCACGTGCAGCCCGCATCTCCATAGCAACCGTGTTGCCGTGGGATGATGGCGCGCGCGCGTGGCAGCGTGATTCGTGGCAAGCAGCAGCAGCAGCATTCCACCCCCTCTGCAGAGGAAGGCCATTCATCAGCCGCGGTGACTGCAGCATTTAGATGCTTGTGCTTCTCATGTCACGGCCCGTGAATGTCTGCTGGGCATGGCGAATGTAACGTTTCGTGCAGAGTCGTAAATGTACAGAGCTGCCGCTGTGCCGATGGAGACCTGTTGACGTGACCGGGCTTGAGAATGCATCTATATATTACAAACCCTGGCGGCTCGGTGGGCTCAGAGCGAGCTTCTCACAGTCGGAAGGCTGCGAGTTCAAATCCTGGTTGGGTGGGTTGACTCAACCTATCATCCATCCTTCCCGTCGGGTCGATAAAGTTAAGTACCAATTTGTGGAAAAGTCAACAGTGGCTGTCCTACATGCAGACATTTGCCCTCGCCATGGAAATGTGGAATATTCGTCACCAATGTATGGCGTTAAATAGAACATGAGCATCGCCTCAATGCTCGCAAGAAATCTCTCTGACTTGGTTTTGCCGACCACGTGCCGTCCAATGCGTGCGCCTGTGTGTCCGTGTGCGTGTGTATGTGTGTGTGTATTTCTGTGTGTGTGTGTTTCTGTGTGCGTGTGTATGTGTGTGTGTATGTGTGTATGTATTTCTGTGTGTGTGTGTGTTTCTGTGTGCGTGTGTATGTGTGTATGTATTTCTGTGTGTGTGTGTGTTTCTGTGTGCGTGTGTATGTGTGTATGTATTTCTGTGTGTTTATGTTTCCGTGTGCGTGTGTATGTGTGTATGTATTTCTGTGTGTGTGTGTGTTTCTGTGTGCGTGTGTATGTGTGTATGTATTTCTGTGTGTTTATGTTTCCGTGTGCGTGTGTATGTGTGTATGTATTTCTGTGTGTGTGTGTGTTTCTGTGTGCGTGTGTATGTGTGTATGTATTTCTGTGTGTTTATGTTTCCGTGTGCGTGTGTATGTGTGTATGTATTTCTGTGTGTGTGTGTTTCTGTGTGCGTGTGTATGTGTGTATGTATTTCTGTGTGTGTGTGTGTTTCTGTGTGCGTGTGTGTATTTCTGTGTGTTTATGTTTCCGTGTGCGTGTGTATGTGTGTATGTATTTCTGTGTGTGTGTGTGTTTCTGTGTGCGTGTGTGTGCGTTTCTGTGTGCGTGCGTGTATTTACGTGTGCAAAATCACATATATGTGTATGTATCAGCTCTCATTATTACTCCGCTTGTTTCCCCAGCAAAGGCTCTCTGAGTCTCACCACTTTATTTCAGGAGGGTCCTGCCAAGTTGTTCTCAGTAGTTTGCGATGTTACCGCCGTCGCTGCTGCTGTGTGATCCCAATTGAGTCATTTGACGGTTTATTTTTCAGAATTGGGATTTTTTGGCCGATACCGGCTCCATGGTGCATGTGGTAGTTTTATCTCCAGGAGGAAACCAGAGAACCCGAAGGAGGGACATTCAAACTCCGCTCACTCACGTACACTGACTCACATTTACTCACTCACTAACATACACACTTACACTAACTCACATTCACTCAAACACTCCCATACACACTCACACTAACTCACATTTCAACAACAACAACCGCTATTCGCCACTAAGTGGTGGTGACGTCACCACGACGCTTGTGCCAGGCAAGGTGCACGTTGAGGCCACGTGAATTGTCGAACACCCGCTGACAGGAGGTTACGGGGCAGACCCAGGTGCCACGGGTCGACTGACTGAGATGACTGGCTGATGCACCACCTGTGCCGCCTAAAGTGACAATTTGCTGTGCTTTAGCCACCCGGCGCTCCGCTCGTTGTTGTGAGCGTCGCTCCTCCGCCCTCCGTTGTTGTTGGAGAGCGACTGCCTCCAACTGCCCAGTAGCGTCCTTCACGAGCCTCCTCCACAGAGGCCGATCTTGACACCGCTGGTACCGGTCATCGGCAAGTCCACTCAGCTCCACATCATCTTGTACCACATCACTCCATCTCTTTTCTAGCCCAGGATGGATCGTAGGCAGGGCAGCCTAAATGTTTCTAACCGGCGAAGATGTTCCATTAGAGGGGTCCACGTTTCGTAAGCGTAGAGAAGGAAGGGAATGACCGTGGCCGAGAAGACCTGAAGCTTCGTGTGGAGCGACAGACCAGGTAGCTTCCACACAGCGTTATGCAACCGATGAAAAGACAATGCCGCTCGACTGATTTGAAGTGAGACCTCTGCTATTAAACCGGAGCCGGTCATGAGACATTGCCCAGGTATGGGAAGCTCTCCATTCTCTCCACAACTGCCTTTCACCAATTGAGAGTTGTAGAGTGTCCGATGGTACAAAATACCCAGGCAGGTGCTTCGTTTTGGCGGGGCTGATGGTAAGCCCCCACCTCTTAGTGGCACGCTCCAGGTTCCACAGCAGCGCCTCCAATTCCTCCTCTGAGTGAGTGGCAATTACCAGATCATCGGCATACATAACGTGGTTGACCAATAGAGAGCCATCCCTTGACTGCACCCGGGCATCGATCAGCCTTCCATTGTATATGTACCAGATGGAAAATCCTCCGGTACAGCCATCGAAGGCTTCACGAACTACGTGGTCGAAAAATATGTTAAATAATGTGGGAGCCAGAGGACATCCCTGTCGCACCCCAAGGTGAACAGGGAATGGCTCCGACTCCCGGCTACGTAGTTTTACCCGGGCCCGTTCACCATCATGAAGGTCCTTAATGATCGTGAGCAGAGGTTCAGGGACTCCGAAAGCATGAAGAACAACCCAGAGCCCAGGCCTACTGATGGTATCATAGGCCTTGACCAGGTCAATAAAGCAGAGATGTAGGTCTTGTTGGAATTACCTACACCTCACCGAGGAGTGAGATGCCCCTGTAGTTGTTACAGTCTGTGCGGCCCTCCTTCTTAAAGAGGGGGACCACCAGGGCATCCTTCCAATCCAGCGGAACCCGTCCAATGGTACAGACTGTTGTTATGATGTCATGTAGGGCAGTCTGTGCACAAACTCCAGCCTCCCTCAGCATTTCGCTTGAGAGATCATCTCTGCCCGGTGCCTTTCCTGGTCTCGGACTCTGGATCTACTTTAGTACTTCCTCAACAGATGGCACCTCAGCCAGCCACTCACAGGGGGTGACTTCTTCTTCCAATATTTGAGACACGGAGGGGCCTCCCTCCGTGAGAAGTGGAAATTTGGCCGCTTTGCTCTCTCAACTCACGGTGCAAGGTTTTGGCTTGAAGAAACTTATGCAATGAATATAAGTTAAATAAGGATAGTAATAATAGCTATAATGACAGTATGTACCGTGTTATAATATTATTAATACAAGTACACACTTGGACTTAACACGCACACGCTTGTGTACAAAATGTACCAAGTTAGTCCGTGCTGCTGCTGCATTGGCAGCGGTGCACAAATAACACAACCTCTAGAGCTCCGGTACACAGAAGGGTCATTGCCCCAAACGTTGCCTTTTATATATGTTTCCTTAATAGGTGCTCGCTAACATCACTTGGCTCGAGTGTGGAGGTGAAAGCGGACCCGCGGGCTCGCTGCCGTTGTGGGCTCGCAACCCGCGTGCTCTGCTGGCTCCGAGTGCCCGGGCCGCGTCAGCTGAGTGAGATGTCACAGCGGGAGACATCGTGAAGGGCCGCGCTGCAGGAGCCCGCACTTACTTATTATAGAACCGGTGTCAACCCAGACGGGGCGAAGCGGAGACCGGGGACGTGCGTGGTGCAGCAGGAGGAGGAGTAGCAGCAGCAGCAGCTCTGTGCACGCGCATGCGGTCGAGCCGTTGGCCCTGCGCCCCTTGGCAATCCGAGTTCGATGCCCGGCCACGGCTCAGAGTGGCGCGTGACATCTTAACCCGGTCCTAGTCCTCTCGATATGTTGACTCGGTCTCAAATGAGTACCTGGTGTGGTGTTTAAGCATCAGCACTAGGGAGACAAAGACGGCCGGGCATGGCGCCAATAATTCCACCTCGTGCGCCGTGCCAGCCGTCATGGAGGTGTTCGCTAACGGCACTTGCTCCCGCGGTCTGTGAGGCTTACTCAACCTCGAAGGAGGAGTTCCGATGCAGTTCGCCACTGATGTTATCCGTGGCTGTGAAGTCCACTCAGTAGCCAGATCTAGAGCCCAATGCGCGAACTGCTGCGCCACCGCTCCTGCTCCGCCTGATCCCATACACACACGCGCGCACACATACACACGCACACCCACGCGCGCATATACGAACACGCACATACATACGCGCACATACACACGCACACATACACGCACACACACAATCTCTGTTGCGTTATGGGAATGATTGACACAGAGAATGTTTCGAAAGGATTCCCCATACTGAACGTATTAAGCCCGTCCCTCCTTACGCGTTTGAATCGCAATGGAGAAATATTTCCAACATAATTCAAGCGAGACAATTTTTGTTTTGGGATTTGTAGTCTTTGGCGTGTGTGTGTGCGTGTGTGTGTGCGTGTGTCTCTGCGCGTGTGTGTGTTTTGAAAATCCGTGGTGCAGTGGCAAGCGTGCTACGCTACGGACCTGGATCCCCTGAGTTCAATTCCAGACCACGGCGAACATCAGTGGTGAGTGATATCTGAATCAGTCCGAGGTCTCCCTCCTAGGTCGACGCAGCCTTAAATGAGTATCTTGGTTTGTTAAACATCAGCAATTGGAGAGACAAAGGTGGCCTGCATGGTTCTGGCTACCCCATTCCCTCGTGCGGCATGCACTTGCCTCAACACGTTATAGCGGGATCGTTGTTGCTGTGTGTGTGTGTGTACAACAGTGTCTCATGCGTCCGTGTGCTGCGTGATATATAGTGACACAAGACGTCATGAATATACGACCCGTCCCAGCTGCGTGTGCACGTGTGTGCAGGCACCCTCGCTCATCATGACCCCTCCACCGCATTAATGACGTTACCTGGCTTCCACATCTGCACGGCTATTGGAGAGAGCGCCTCCCAAACCCCGACCCCCACCTCCCGATCCGCACATCCCAACTCCCTTGTTTTAAAATTTGTTGAACAGTCCCTCGAGATCCCGGCGCCTCTGTCCACAGTATCAATGAGTAACAGCAGGGTTAGTCGATCGGCAGGTTGCAGGCGGTGGTTAGTCAGTTTAACACGTCGGCTTTCGCGACCAATATTATTCATAATCAACGTTTTTGGGTTAGATCGCGTTATTTGTAAATGTTGTAAATTGTAAATGTTGTGGTTTCACGCTTCAACACACCGGTGGGCTAAAGTAGTGAACTATTTGTCTTTTGTCAACGTGACACTTTTTTGCTGATTGGCCGTGTCGGGTGGTGGAGGGTTACGACACATTTATAAATAACGCGATCTAACCCAAAAACGTTGATTATGCAGGCGGTGGGTTAAAGTGTAAGTACCTTTCCCAAGACGTCTGCGCAATGCCAAATAAAAGGCCGCGTTTCCCTCTCGAGCTCTCCTCCAGTGGATGCCTTTCCACCAGCAGGGGCGTGAGCGAGAAATTGCAGAGCTGCGCCTTTGTTGTGGTCCAGTGATGTTCGCGCCAAGCGAAAGGGAGGTTCGCGGTGTTCTTGGAGGTCTCTTGCCTCGAGCATCTGGACGACCCAGCAGCATTTTGCTACCAGATCGCACGCTGCTGATGCACCTCCAAAGTCGAAACTGGTCCAGAGTTCTCCTGCGTAAATATATATATATCTTGCTCGAACACAAATTTTGATTCAGATAAGTCAAATCAACGGATTCGTCGTGTTATTATTAGTGGTGAACAGACATAGGTCTATTGGCCGTACAATAATTTACGTATACAATTGCACAGCCCTTTATAAATCCACTGCTGGATGAAAGCCTCCCCCAATGCTGTGTCGGTCATGGGGTTAGTTTCACCACACTCCACTCGCTGGCCAGTACGGGTTGGGGAACGTTGGGGAGGACAGGACCAGTGTGGACATCAATCGCCACTCACCTTCACGTGACCGGGAATCGAACTCAAGTCGCCGGGGTCACATCGCAGTGCGCTCACCTTTGCGCCACCGCTCCCTCTCGTTCGCGTGCTGCATCGAGAGGATAAGACGCCCGCTTGGTCCGCCGTCCGTCACCGCACTCACTCGAGCCATCCTCGTCGCACGGCGTCGAGTCAGGACTCGTGGTCAACGGAAGAAAGCGTCTTGTAGGGTTGACGATAAGCTATGTTAGACCTATGTGGGTTCAAAGTTCACCCCGTCTGCCAAACGGTCTGGTTTACTTCTTCCTTCGTATAGAAAAGGTGGAATTTGCAACATTGCATATATAGTGTACATCGAGATTATTAAGCCGTGCAATCGCCTCTGTGGAGGCGTAGTGGGTGACGGTGATATTTGAAGCGCACCGCTTGCGATGGCGCTTTGCGGAGCTGAGTTGTGGGCCCAGGAGCTCTGAGTTCGAGCTGCCCGGCCCGCACAGGGGAGCGGGGAGCGGGGAGCTACGGTCGGAGAGTCCGGCGCCAATGCCGCTGCGTGGAGAGTGCGCGCGGTAGCTACCCACGTAGCGCCCGCGCGAACGACTTTTCACGAGACTCGCCCTGACCTCGGTGTTGGTTGTGGGCCCCTTCGGGCCGGTACCGAACCCATTACTCACTCCTCGAGGCGGGGCGCGATTATACCGCGCGGGGCATTCGCGTGAACGCGCGACACCGCGTGGGGACAGGCAGAGGTAGATGTGGTGGCAGGTTGTGACAGTTTGATGTTGTCACGTGTTGTTGATTTTGTTGATAGCTTATAGATGGTCATGTTCTGCGGCCGGTGGGCAGATTCCTAGCAGTTATGTGCTGTGGTAGAATGTTGGCAGTGCGAACGCTATGACAGGTGAGTAATAATATTGTCTTGCTGGTATCTCTGTGCTGTGGCAGTGAAGTGGCAGATTGGTGGATGCTGCGCGCTGTGGCAGGTACCACATGTGGTGGTGGTCGTGGTGGTGGTGGTGGTGGTGGCGGGGGGCTGATACACCACCGCCCCGGCCACAACCCCGCGTGTTATTTTCGAAGGCACCGGGTTCGCTCGCGGAAGCTTCTCTCTCAGACTGCATCCTCCGCGCGCCGGCCACATCCTCTCGTGCTTCCCGAGCCAGAATAATCATTAAGACCTTTAAACTCGAGACATTCCTGCTAAGAGGGGGTAGATATTGGGAGCAGATGTGCCGGAGAGGGCAGAGCTGGGTCCATAAATAATGGCGCTGGCTGCGGCATTGCCCCCGGTCCCCTCCAGCGCCCCTCGCTCCCATCCGTTCAATCGGCGCTCTCACTGCTCGTCCCCGTCCCATGCTCCCCTCCCCGTTCCTCCCATCCCCTCCACCAACTCCCTCCCTCCCTCTCCCCTGTCCGTCCGTCCTTCGCCGTCGCAAGCAGGAACAACAAATTCCCCGGCTCTCGCAACCTGCCTGCACACGGGGCTCTGTGCACTGTCAACCTGAAAGGGATTAAAATTTGTAGGGTACAAAATATTTCCCATTCCCCAAGGTACGAGGATTATTTGACCAGCTGAGCACAGTTTGGGAATGGGGCCGCGCGTGTGTGAGCGTGTTGTACGTATGTTGAACTTCTTTCGCACCGTACGGAGCCAATCATGATGTGGGTAGTGGGGGCATAGTGGTTAGCGTACTGCTCTACAAATTCGGCGACCCGAATTTGAAACTGGGCCTCTGCTAGGTGGACTCAGCCTTAAATGAGTACCTGGTGCGGTGTGTAACATCACCAGTGAAAAGACAAATGCGGTCGAGGGTGGTGCTGGCCACCCACCTCGTGTACCGTGTCGGCCTTCATAGTTACTCGCTAACAGCACTTGCCCCAAAGTCTCTTAAGGCTATACGGGCGTCTTTGTCTTGTGTGTGTTGTGAGTAAGCGAGCGCGTGTTTATTATACTGCACATTGTGTGCGTGAGTTTGTCTCCTTGTGGCGCAGTGGTTATTGCACTGTGCTATGAACCCGAATGTGTGCACTTTGTTGAATTTCTTTTGCACTCTACATAGCCAACCGTGATAATCGGAGGTGCGGGGGATCGAACACCAAAGGGATAGAACTCCCTGCCGCGGCTAATACCATTGGCGAGCGATATCTGCACTGTTCCTGAACCTCCTCATGGTCGACTGCTGCGGTGTGCAAACGTTCCCACTGGGGAGACAAAGGCGGTCTGGCGTGGTGTTGGCCACACCACCCCCTCGTGCGCTATTCCGTCTCTAATATGTGCTTACTAATGGGTGCTCGCTAAGAGCACGTATCACAGCAGTCTGTGACGTTTGTGTTTTTCTATTTTTCTACGTAGTTGTATGTACACATATGTATATGTATGCGTATGTAGGTACTGGCATTATATGTGTATGTATTTTATGTGTATATAGTTGGATGTACGTGTATTTGCATCTGTATTTATGCATTTGTGTATACGTGTGTACTTATCTGTATGTATTGGTACATACTGTATCTGTGTATGTACTTGAACGTATGTGTATGTATTTGTATAGGAAAGTGTCCAGATCTAGCCACAGTCCCATCATCAGTGAGCTCCACGGGCAGGCAAGGCTGTGGTGGCTCGGTCAATTAGCCTGCATGCTTCGCCACCGAATGTGCAAGCAGCATCTGTTTATGGATTTATGAGCTTCTGTTCGGCCGGATAGAGGGGCACTGGCGAGCGGAGAACAGATGAACAACGCTCACTACAACGAGCGGAGTGCCGGGCAAGGCGGCACAGTCGGGGGCACAGGTGGTGCATCTGCCAGTCGTCTCGGTCAGTCGACCCGTGGTCCCTGGCTTCAGCAGTGGACACGCGGAGTCCGGGAGCTCAGAGCTCCGTGTTCTAGGTCACTATCTCGAGATGTAAAACACGTGCATGGGATTGTGTAAGCTACACTTAGACACCGCGTACCAGCTGAGTGTTTTAAACCCTGCAACGTGTGCGCTGTTCAACAGACACGATTCATTTGCTTTGGGGTGGAGGGAATCTTTTAATATCTGGACAAGGGGTTTGGAATATTCCCAGGAATCGTAAACTTTTAGCAGTGCAACAACAGGAACAACAACAACCACAACAACGATACAACTACAATGACTGTACAGCCCTTTGCCAATCCACTCCGGGATGAAGTCCGCCTCACGCCGCGTCGTACAACAGGGCTGTTTCGTTTCGATTTAAAGCTTTCGTGACTGCAGGGATTCATCTTCTTGGTTCTTTCGGTAAAGTCACGTAGAAGGGAAATAATAAAAGAATAAAAATACAACTTAATAAAACAATTTTATCATATAATAACAGTAATAAAAATAAAACATAATAAAATTATTTTATTATGTTTTATTTTTATTATTTTATTATTTCCCTTCTACGTGACTTTACCGAAAGAACCAAGAAGAGGGCTGTTTCGCTCAACGGCGCGTTTACGGCTTCTGTCCGACGTTTCGCTCCACATGCATATAGAGCTTGTTCGGTGAAACGTCGGAAGTTTCGCGGAACAGCACGCGGTGTGACTCGAAAACGCCTCGGGGAGGCACACAGCAGCGCAACCGCGAGCGGCCACGCAGGCCTCGTCCTCCTCCTCGTCGCACGACGCGTCGGTCTCGAGGGTTGCTTG